GCTGCATTCGACCGCGGCACCATTGCCGGAATACAAAACGACCGGGATCAAGAAATCTCAGTTTATCTTGAGCCACTACGGCGGCTTCAAGTCTTGCTGGGACTGGCTGATACTACTCGCAACGTTCTACGTGGCGATCGTCGTCCCTTTCAACGCGAGTTTCATCAACATCGACAGGCCTACGATGGTCAGCGACGTTGTCGTCGAAGCGCTCTTTATAACCGGTGAGTGCCATTTCTTCAGTTTATTCCCTATCCAGTAGGCATACACTTTGAATATCATTCAGCTGCGAGACGTTTTTATATTGCACTGCGCGTTGTACAAAACTCGTAAATTCGAAGATTAATACAATTCTCCAGTGTGTCATTGCGTTTTCGATTACTTTTATTATTTCTGTATAAACCAAGTTCGATGTAAATTGAGCATAAACACCAATTGTTAAATTACAAAATTGAAAAGTCCACTCGAGGACTACGATATCTCGATTTAACTCTTTGACCTCGGAAATATTGTTCCTATCATCTACCAGCAATTTATTTTACGAAATAATGAGTGAAGTGATCATCAGTTCGAGTCAAATGATACGGCGTTGGAAATAATCGTTCTGTTTACATGATAATGTTTAACATGAAATTTTGTTGATTATGTTTCTCTGATATGTGACTTTCAAGCAATCACCAAGTGCAACATGTGGAAGTTAATGATACATGATTTCAATCCCCTGAAAAATTTCCTTCACTTTCATTTTATAAACTTCCGTGAAAAGCAATGGGAAATTTAGTTTGTGTAAATTATTAATAATTTGATGTCAATTGCCTCAAGAATTCCATCTATTGAAATTTTATTATTATTATTCCTCTTACGTCGTTATATCATACAACATCATATCTATGCTCATTATAATTATCAGCAATTATAAAAAAATTTTGTAATTTTGAACAAGTATGACGTCTCCTTACAGGGGACAACGCGAGTGCAAAGAGTTAAACATGACACCATCGAGTCTACGTGTTCCAAGGTTTCCAAGAACCTTCAAAAACCTCTAAGATTTCCAAGAGTGTCAAGACTTTCGAGACTTTCGAATGTTGTCGAGTGTTTCTCCTTTTCTATTCTTCGCATAAACTAGCATAAAATTACTAATCGGAGAATGTTCGATTGTGTATAAAACGATACTTTTAAAATGATTCAGCCGAAAAGAAACCGGGGGGGAGATCGGTAGTCTTTCCGTGCTTCTCTGTTTCCAATCTACTTAGACCGGGGTGTCAGTCGTTGATATTAACTACTGGGCGCCTTGTTCGAGACGTGATTTTCTTCGCACATATCCAGCGCGGAAAAATTTCATTCAATTTCGATGCTTTTGCAAATTTGTTATTACACAGACAGAACGAGGGAAGATCCTGTCTACGAAAGAACTTTCATCTTGATTCTCGTCACAGAAATCCTACTACCCTCGGAGAGTCAACGTTCCCGAATAATGTAACATTTCGCTCTAGAAACACTGAATTGATTTATAACCGAAGTGAATATCGAGCAACCATGTTCGAAGCGAGAGCTCTCCACTCTTCTTTGAGAAATAGAAATCATAATTCCATCTGTATGTACAGTATAGAGTGTCGTCTCTTTTCTCAGTGTTCTTTCCATCGAAAATTTGTAGAGCCTGTTCGGATTTCAAAAGAAACAACGACTTGTTCCAATTAATGAAATTTTAGTTAATTATCATCAACCATCAATCAAAGTTGTTATTGTAACATTTTTGTTTCTTAGAAAAACATGCGAAGCAGTTCATCTTGTCCAGACATTTGCAATTATTTTAACACTGTTATAATTAATGTCATTTATATTTGTATTTTCGTTAATTTTTAATCAATCTTTCGGTGACGTTCGTTTCTTACATTCGTAGAATATACTGACTAATACGAGAGTCGAATTGAGAGTTGGATTGATTTACAAAAGTGAAACGAAATCAAACTTCGCGGAATAATAAATTCAATTTTTCATCACTGTCAATAATATTGTGCCGGCCGCGGATAGTGATGAATATTTCGAAGCAGGAAATCGTAGAACAATTTTATTATATTGAGCGGATTTCCAAGCTCCAATCGAAAATTTTACGACTACGATTTGAAAAATTGGCTTCACTTCTCAAATGATGATCACTGAAAATTATATACATTTTTTGTATATTTAAATTTTTCACGAAAAACTTCTACTTTTTTGTAGTAATGTCACAGTTTGCTTTCTCGTCATGTTTTTGATTACGACTTTTTAACAAATGTTTCTTTTATTACGCAAAAAAATCAACATTTCACTCGAAATGTTTTCAAATTAATATTCTTCTATTTGCAACATCAAAATGTTTTAAAATTAACATTCTTCTATCACGAAAATTTACGGGAGATATATATTTCTAAATTACATTCTATTTTACACTCGCAAAAATATACTAAAAGACTTCGAATGGAGAAAACTCGGAACATTCTGCGCTGTTGCTCCGATTAAATTTCTCTCTACTTGAAAACCTTCGTAATCGTAATTCGATGTAAAACTACTTCACCTCGCTTGCCCAATTTGTAAATGAGCCGGATGAGCGAATGTTGAGACAGAAATTCAGTTTGTTAACGAGATTAGGACCAGTATAGAGATGAAGTTCCTTAACACGATGCGTTTTCATGTTGGGAAACTTAATGGGGGGAAGGGAAGGGACAATCGAGCACAAGTTTCGTCTCTTTGATCAAAACGCGATCTGAACTTTCACTCAGAAACTTTCTGATTCTAAATATCCGCTTTCCTAGATTCCTACTCTGCAGTATGTTCGAACACTGTAGGAAATCGAAATTAATCGGAAGAGCATAGGAGAGATATAATAAGTCACATTTTAAATAATTTTACGTTAATAAAGATTTAAAAAATTTCAGTCAATTCTGCTTCGCTTAAATTAATCTCGTTTCATTTAAAGGGCAACCTCGTAATTTTAAAAATAATATTAAAATATTGGTTTTCGATGATTTAAGTAAGTTTCAGCTCGATGGATTCTTGCCATTGTTGGTTTCAGAGAATCGAAAGAATTCTTCTCACACTGGAGATGACTTTCGTTTTTATTGAAAATCAGAACCTTTTCTTCTGCGATCTTCAATTCGAGTTGTCAGAAACGAAAGGAAATAATAAAGCTACGCACGTGTCTTTTTCGCAGATATCGTTCTAAACTTTCGAACGACGTACGTAAGCAGAAAAGGCGAGGTGGTTAGCAACAGCAAGAGCATAGCCGTAAACTATCTAAAGGGCTGGTTTTTCGTCGACCTCGTCGCTGCTTTGCCCTTTGATTTTCTTTATGCTTCTGACGTTTACAGCGGTGAGGTGAGTGAATCAAACTAAACGCAACAGATAGCTAAATTTTCATACTACAATAACTCACGAGAGTATAAATATAATATAGAAGAATTTTTACGTATGCACAATTTATTACGTGCGTTATATAAAACATTTGCAAATTTTACTGCAACGAGAGAGATTTATCGTAAATATACATTTTGTTGTACAGAAACTTGGAGCACCGCTCGTTCTTTAGATGAAATAAATTTTTTCATACATTTCGAGAACACACCGAGAATTTTGCAATTCTAAATATAATAGAAAATTTTTTTCCAAATTATTTGAAGCACTATATTATTAAATATTTTGTATATTTCTTCGCGCTACGTGCAGCATTCTGTGCTTCAAAATTACGTGTAAATCCATTCTAACAATAAATATTAAACCTACCGCTGATATAATGAAATACGTCTATTACTTGTATTAAATATTTTATAAACTTTGCAACCAATATGACAAGTCACAAGAGTCATCTCTTACCACACTGTTTACGAAACTTTCAAAGTTTTACACAACACATAGTTCGTATATATTCGTAAAAAATTGCTGTATATACATTCGTGAGCAACTTGTAAGTTGAATCAAATCACCGTATGAAATTCTTATCTCGACTGTGAATAGCGAGTTTCTTTTCTAAATCAAAATCTGACTCGGCTGTCCTGTCGAGAAACTGTAAGGAAGAGATACATGTACGAGATACTATTTGTACAATATATCTGAAAGCGAGTTGTGAATGAAGTTCATTTAGGAAAAGGTTCGTGTATTATTAAATTGAACGATGTACATCGATTCCTCCGCGTCGCGTCGTCCGTGTTCGGAACATGGTCACAATATCACCGCGCATCGAACGATGTATCTCGACATGAATGGTACAATCTAATCTATCCGCGAGTCTATAGCCTACGAGAATACGTAATTACATCGATTATGTACTTTCAAATATTTAGCATACGGTACTCTTGCACAAATGTTTTTTTTTTTTTTTTTTTTTTTTTTTAATGAACGACACGAGCACAAATAAATGAGTACTGAAACTTTCATTCGTTTCATACTTAAAAATCAAAGTTAGAATTGTCATGTTCTTATTTCACGGAACAATATGGCCGAAGTTTATTTCCACAAAGCAGTTAATTATTAAATTATATAAAGATGTAAGATCTTTAGAAAATATACAAAGATATTTCACATGTGATATTACCGATGTGCTTCGACTAATATTTCTTAATAACTATAATCTATTCTATCATAGGAATCGGGACATGGTAACATTCATTTAGTAAAATTAACGAGATTGCTAAGGCTCGCGCGATTACTTCAAAAGATGGATAGATATTCGCAGTACAGCGCGGTTATTCTGACGATGTTGATGCTGTTTTTCATCCTGGTGGCACACTGGCTGGCTTGTGTATGGTTCGTTATCGCGGAGAAAGAACGATTGAGAAACGATAACGATTGGGACCTCGGTAAGTTCCTCGATTTTTTTTTTTAAATAAATTTCGATTTATAGAAAATTAAATAGAAGCTTAAGAAGAGAACTTTTGAATGTCTACGAGTCGACAGATAATTCATTCTATTAGTATTACTACCATTATTAATAATCCTCACTGATCAATATGTCTGTTTAAAATAACACAGTTTATGCACGACATAAGATATTAATCCTCAAATAGTATTGTTAAGTTGCAGATAACAATAGTAATATTACTAAAATTAATTGTATCATAAATAATATCATGAATTAGTCTGTTTTCGTTTTTTGCATTCGTACAAATTAAACGAGGTGAAACATCGAAGCAAATGAAATTAAGAACTCGACTAATTAAGTAATTTAATTCTGCTTCAATTCATACATGGTCCGATAATCACGTATGCGCTGAGGCATTTCAATTTCTCTTTGTACGTGTGTATTTTAGTAAATCGTATGCGTTTATATAAATAAGATATTCCGTTTCGCCATCGTTGCACCAGAAATGTGCGATTGACATGGACGATTGACTCCAGCATGAAATTCTATTCTGTTCAATCGTAGAGGAAGACGGTATCCCCGGTTGGGAAATCAATTCCTGGCAAATGGGCATAACCTTTTGTAGCACTTAGCATTTCGAACAATGATACTTTGCAACGCGTTCATTCTCTATTTACGTTTATTACGTTCTAAAGTCAAATGGGTGTATTATTGATTTTTAACGGAATATTATACTTTATTCTAACTTTGCAAAATCGTTTTATTCATTTTTTTTTTTTTTTTTTTTTTTTTTTTTTTTTTTTTTTTTT